CAAGGGTGGGAACATCACTTTCTTCTTCTTACTTATCATGAAAATTGAGATCACTCCTTAATCTCTGGACTTGGGGAATGGGTTCTCAAGCAGTCCTCCAAATGCCATGAGACTCGTAATTGAATCACTAACACTAATGTTTCCCGCCACAGGCCAGGATGCAAAATTCAGACAATGATCTGCACCATTTCATTAATGTTATTCAGGTGTCGTTTGAGTGCAAAGGTCACCACCAGACTATCACCATTAATATTAACTCCCCACTTAGCACCCCTGCTTTGCACACTCTTCCCCCAACCTGCGCCCAGCTACCAAGCTGCTGCCTCTTGGGTCTCTAGGGGTGTGAATGTTCTTCTGCGAGACAGGAGGGATGCCAGAATAACACCTCTCCTTTTTGCCATGCCTCTCAGACTCCTGTGGGTCTCTGGCCTGCTAAAAACTGCTGCTGTTGGCGGTCTGAAGATTTTCTGATGAGCCATTTCTGGAAAAGCCTACAGACAGCTCCCGCTTTCCAAGGAGGTGTGGGGGGAGATGGCTGCTGGTCCCTTGCTCTCCAAAGATTGCTCCCTGGTGACACTGTGCTGAGAGACAGCAGGGGGACTTGATGTGCTTGGATAGTAAAGTAGCAGGGATCATATCACAAGAACTAAAGAAAGAAAATGTTACACTGGAAGGAAAATAAAAAGTTCTTTCTCGGCAGTCCATGAGCGTTTTTCATGAAAATACATATAAATCGGACACACACACACACACAGAGCCTGGAGGCACCCATATCCCTTCCTCTGTGGGGTGACAGAGCCACGTCCCGAGGGAGACCCCAGCTCCTGGGTGCGCGTTGTCCTCTCCCACCCCCTGAGCACCACTGAGTGCCTGTCCCCAAAACCAGGTCCCCAGGGAAGCCTGTAGCTGCCGGCGCGGTGCCATCGGCGTTTCAAGCAGGGAGTGGCTGACGCAGCACCATGCAGCCTGGCCGCAGCGCACATGTGCCAAGAGCCACGCGGGGGAAACTGAGGCACGAGGAGAGGAGGAAAAAAAGCCTCTTGGCCTAAGCTGGCCAGGA